ACCAACGATGTAATCCACAGCTGACTGGGAACCCTGTGATAGTGACATGACCGAGGGAGAAGCGCCCGAGTCGTAGCATGGTGGATCAAACACCCTGGTGACCTCCACAGCGAAATCCCCAAATGTGTCACAGCAGGCCGTCCTAGCTGTCCATTCCGCCGTGGCCCATTGTCTGGCTTTTCCGGTTAACAAAGATAAGGTGTAGGCCACCTTGGCTTGTTCGGTGGGAAACGCTGATGGTTGCATTTCAAAAAGGATCTCGCATTGGGTGAGAAACGCATTGCTTTCTCCGCTCTCTCCTCCATATCGTTCTGGTGGAGCCAGTCTGGGCTCGTGTTCCGCTGAAGCACTGGCCGCAGCCACCCCAGCAGCGGCCTGATCGCCTCTTGCCTGACGTAACTGGTGTAGGTCCATCTGTATCTGACCCAGGGCAGCTCCCTGGTGGGCTAGGGCCTGCTCCATCCGAGCTCTCCTGTCAGGCTCTTGCTCGCTGGTTGAGTCCATACTTTTGGCCAGATTGTACTGTCAGGTCTGGCGTTAGGACGCCAAACGGTGTTTGTGGTGGACTCAATTATAAAACCAGACGAACTGATTTAGTGAAAGGTTTTTACTTGTTGCAACTAGACAACCAATACACAGTCCAGGATAAACAATCAGGTCGATGGTAAACAGGTGTAGCCAGGGGATTCAAAACTCAAGAGGTCCAGGGGAAGCTCAGAAGGTCGGTACACTGCAGGCAATCAGACACTGGAAGGACATAGGCAATAAACGGTGGTCAAAACAAACAATCCAAGGTCAGAAACAGAGTCAGGCAAGGTATGGATGCTGGAGAGTCAGAGCTAGAGTCTAGAACAATCTGGCAGGGATAGGAGGGTGAAGACTGCTTATATTACGGTGCGAACAGGTGCAAACTATCGGGAGCAGGTGAAACTAATGTAAGTGATTAGTGAACGTAAAGTGACCGAAACAGAGGTGAAAAACAAAAACAGGAAGTAACGTAAAAATAAAAGCCTGACAGGAAGCAAGGGAACCGAATCGTGACAAGCACCATCTGTTAATGGCTAGATCAATGATTTAGTTTATAACCTGCAGCAGTAATTGATCTGTTTTTTAAAAAAGCAGTGCATATGTCATGAAGAACAACTTGTGCAACTGCTATTAAGTGTTTTCAAATTCAGTGAAACCATGTGCTAGGACTTACCAGAAAAATAAGAACCTGAAGTTGGCCCATAATTATTGGCTAATGGCCTAAAAGCTGTGGACCTTGACTACAGTTGTTCTCAGTAATATTTTAGGTTTTTGAGACAAGTACTGAAAATGCAGCAGTATCATCTAACTTTAGAACACTTCCTCTATTCTTGTGTTTACAGGACTGCAGTCCATTTCAAGCCATGATGGAAAATACCCTTCAGCCCACATGCTATGGTTTCCACCAGCCTGCATATCAAAATAAAATTCTGGAAGGAAAATGGTGGTTGTGATGGTGGTAGTTAATAATAATAATAATATAGGGAAACAATGTTTTAAACAAAGACAGCTGACTGTTCACTACGCCCTAACCGTCTTAGTTATTCTTACTATGCCTGTTGAACTTTCCATTTTTTTTGCAACATAATGTAGTTTGCAATGATCACTGTGGCAGATTTATCACTTGAAATTCTTAGCAATTTGATTTCAGACAGAAGATCATAAAAGCAGGGTTCTCATAGCCTAGTTGTTAATTTTTCTGTCTAAAATTAACAACTGTCAATTGCAGATTCACCAGCTCTAGCTAGCTAGTTAATTAAGATAACCACACCTCCACGAGTATGCTGAAAGTGCTGTCTTTGCCAGACTATTAAATGCTTCCAGCTTGTTTGTTTTAAAGCAAGAATCTTGTACATACAGGTGATATTGTGCTTAAAAGCTGAGGCTAAAGCTGCATGTGTCAGGCAAAAAGTCAAGATCCTCCTCACCAAGGGATGATCCATGTAAAAGACCTACAGATAAAGAAAAGATATTATCCTTGTATTGCAAAGTATAATCAGCCTGCTTCATTCTAGCATCACCCTCTTCAGCGCCTACAGTGGTGTGAAAAAGTGTTTGCCCCCTTACTGATTTCTTATCTTTTTGCATGTTTGTCACACTGTAATGTTTCAGATCGTCAAACAAATTTATATATTAGTCAAAGATAACACAAGTAAACACATCATGCAGTTTTTAAATGAAGGTTTTTATTATTAAGGGAAAACAAAATCCAAAACTATATAGCCCTGGGTGAACAAGTGTTTGCCCCCCTGTCAAAACACTGGTTTATCGCACCTGAGTTCAATTTCTATAGCCACACCCAGGCCTGATTACTGCCACACCTGTTCGCAATCAAGAAATCACTTAAATAGGACCTGCCTGACAAAGTGAAGTAGACCAAAAGATCCTCAAAAGCTAGACAGCATGCCGAGATCCAAAGAAATTCAAAAACAAATGAGAAAGAGAATAATGAAGCTCTATCAGTCCGGAAAAGGTTATAAAGCCATTTCTAAAGCTTTGGGACTGCAGCAAACCACAGTGAGAGCCATTATCCACAAATGGCGAAAACATGGAACAGTGGAGAACCTTCCCAGGAGTGGCCGGCCAACCAAAATTACCCCAAGAGCGCAGCGACAACTCATCCAAGAGGTCACAAAAGACCCCACAACAACATCCAAAGAACTGCAGGCCTCACTTGCCTCAGTTAAGGTGAGTGTTCATGACTCCACCATAAGAAAGAGACTGGGCAAAAATGGTTTGCATGGCAGAGTTCCAAGACGAAAACCACTGCTGAGCAAAAAGAACATAAAGGCTCGTCTCAGTTTTGCCAGAAAACATCTTGATGATCCCCAAGACTTTTGGGATAATACTCTGTGGACAGACGAGACAAAAGTTGAACTTTTTGGAAGGTGTGTGTCCCATTATGTGTGGCGTAAAAGTAACACCGCATTTCAGAAAAAGAACATCATACCAACAGTAAAATATGGTGGTGGTAGTGTGATGGTCTGGGGCTGTTTTGCTGCTTCAGGCCCTGGAAGACTTGCTGTGATAAATGGAACCATGAATTCTGCTGTGTACCAAAATATCCTGAAGGAGAATGTCCGGCCATCCGTTTGTGACCTCAAGCTGAAGCGAACTTGGGTTCTGCAGCAGGACAATGATCCAAAGCACACCAGCAAGTCCACTTCTGAATGGCTGAAGAAAAACAAAATGAAGACTTTGGAGTGGCCTAGTCAAAGTCCTGACCTGAATCCAATTGAGATGCTGTGGCATGACCTTAAAAAGGCAGTTCATGCCCGAAAACCCTCCAATGTGGCTGACTTACAACAATTCTGCAAAGATGAGTGGGCCAAAATTCCTCCACAGCGCTGTAAAAGACTCATGGCAAGTTATCGAAAACGCTTGATTGCAGTTGTTGCTGCTAAGGGTGGCCCAACCAGTTATTAGGTTTAGGGGGCAAACACTTATTCACACAGGGCTTTGTAGTTTTGGATTTTGTTTTCCCTTAATAATAAAAACCTTCATTTAAAAACTGCATGATGTGTTTACTTGTGTTATCGTTGACTAATATTTAAATTTGTTTGATGATCTGAAACATTACAGTATGACAAACATGCAAAAAGACCATATTTCCTAAACATTTTCGCTTTTAGAAGAGAAAAAGCTTGTGTGAACTTTCCCAAATTTAATCAAAAGCTGCTAATGTTAGCATGAAGTCTGATAACAGAGCAGAGCTACTTAACACTTCCATCAAAACATTATAGTACTGCAATAAGTAATGAGCCTGCCTTTATAATGTAACATGTAACCCATTTAATGTATGCTAGTTTATGATGATTGGTCTTGGCTTTCAAAGTAACACTTTGTTCCTTCTGTAGGTAATAGCTGGGCATGCTAACAATTACAGATGATCACATTGTTTATTTCATTCATGGCACTTTTGCTTATATGGTATTTGGAAATGTTAGAGGGAAAAAAGCCACCACCCTTGATGCCCTTTAAGTGTTAAGCAGCTTTAATATAGACAAGTCCAAATTTTGGCAGGCTTGTCTTGCTTATAGACACAAAATTATGACTGGACAATTGCTGTTTGGGGTAGAAGAGCAAATAAACATTTTTATGAAAGGAATAATTCCTTTCATTTTCTTTTCCATTAAATCAACTTGCTCTTCATGTTCATCCCAATGGGATAATCCCACAATTTGGAAACTATTTGGTTAAAAGACAAGTAGTAGTATAGCCCAATAGGCTGACCCAGGGCCTTTTTGTGCGGAGTTTGCATGTTCTCCCCGTGCTTGCGTGGGTTCTCTCCGGGTGCTCTGGCTTCCTCCCACAGTCCAAAGACATGCAGCATAGGTTGATTGGTGTCTCTAAATTGCCCGTAGAAGTGATTGTGTGTGTGAGTGGTTGTTCGTCTGTGTGTTAGCCCTGCGATGGACTGGCAACCTGTCCATGGTGTACCCCACCTTTCGCCTGCAGCTGGCTGGGATTGGCTCCAGCCCCCCGTGACCCCGTTTGGGACTAAGCGGTTTAGAAAATGGATGGATGGATAGTATTTGTCCCAATTCTAAAACTTCTAAGGGTTTTCAACTTGTATATAGATCAAATACAGTGTTATATAGCCTATTTCAAAGCTATCAGTCTCACAAAACTCCTGCAGCCACATGGGGTCATATTGTGCAATGCCACATAGGATCCTGACACAAAGGCTGAGAAACTCTGCTTCACATTTTTGAAATACACATCCAATGAAAATTTACTGAATGCACCTCTTCTTGTTGGGCCCACCTGAAGAATTAGAGGAGTTTCCTGAAGCCAGGTTTAGCCAAAGATTTTGTACTTGGACTTCTCATAAAATATGCTGTGGAAGCACACAGTACTGATATAACTTCACTCACTAGTTGTGATTTCGAAGGTTATAGTGATTAAGTAAGGGCTAAATTTACTCACCTCACCAAGTCAGTCATACAGGAGCCGACCACCATCACATCAAAAACCTCTTCAGTCATGATCTGATCAAGACACACATTGGTATTACTTCTGTAACAACACTCAATTCTGGACATGAAATATTTTAAATAGTCTTCATTTAAATTACTGTTGATGTTTTAGGAGATTATTGAATGTCTCAACATTTGTCTGACCTTTCCTGTAAAACCTTTTCATAAAAAGGACCAAATCTAAAGCATAGTCGACCATAGCATTTCAGGCAAAATATGTGAACTAGTTTTCCAAAAGCCCCACCACAGTCTAGCAAAGTCTTAAATTAATTCAATCCTCACCTTGTATTAGAGCTAATGCTAGTGTGTTAATCTCTTCAAATCTCTTCCTAGGCAGTGGAGGACTTGGAAAGCCTGGCCACTGGCTGTAGGATGGCACAATTCTCTCTCCCACATCTCTCAGCACATTATCTTCCCTCTGCAGGCATGAAAAGCTAGCCTAGAACCTTCCATGTCTCCACAGCAGGAGAAGAGATCTACATTGTCCAAACACTCAAATCTGCAGGGAACTCTATTAAATTCTCAGTTGCTTGTTGAACTTGAATCTGAAATATCATACTGTACTGAAATATTAACCTAAAGATGTATTTGTACAGCTCAATCTAAAATATGTTTATCCATTATGCATTAACTATAGCTTAACCAAAGTTTCCACGTTATGTGCCAGATAAGTGATTAAAGACATGATTTGTGTTGGCAGAGACTTTTTGTGCTTTGCAATGATTGTATCATACAAGCAAACAATTTCATCTAAATGAAAATCACAGTTGTACACTGTGAGTTAAACTATAGATTGAGTTGTAAACGAATCCCAAATTAAAATGCTGTTGGACCTATGTAAAAAACTTGTAAGATCACATATTTTGCCTGTGTCTGTTTAGGCAGTCAAGGCTTAACTGGATGATGACTGTTATGTTTTTAAAAAATGCTTTCAGAAGTTTAGATAATGTCTATAATCAGCAAAATACTTCTTTTACTGTCATTCCACTCCCACCCTCAAAACACATGCACATTCACTATGTAATAGGCTCTATTTTAGTCCCAGTACCACATTTTCCTAACAATTTCAGAGTACTCAGAAGAAAAGGGAAATTTAGCTGAATGTTGAACTAATAAGGCAACCTCTTATGCCATTTAATGAACCACACCAGTAATGATCGAATGATCATCAACTAAATATATTTTACCTTTGCTCTTTCTACTGGACTCTGAAGTCTGAATCACCTCCACGAAGGTGGAAATTCCCAGCTGTGAATCAGCACGGCTGTTCTGACTAAGAACCCCACTGTTCTCACTGCATGAGTTTTTAAGCCATTTTAATCTTAGTTGGAGTTATTTTTTGTACAAAACCAATACATTTAAGGTGGGATTTCACATAACACCTTAAGTGTTTTTGAGGCTGTGAGCTTTTCTGATGGGTTATTATGATTAACATAGAAAAAAAAAGCCAAACAGCCCTTTACCCTTTATGTTTATAAAATACTTGGCCATATATTTTGTTATTTTGAAGGATTCCGGTAGTAATATAGTAGGCTATATGTAAAATGTACTGTGGTATGATTGCAATAAGATTTGTTTTGGCGGAATCAATAAATATTTCTGTATAAAAGATGGAAAGAAGGAACATGTAATACTGATACAATGGTAAAGGACATAGTCATGCACTGAAGTTCTCATACATACATACATATACACACACACACACACATATATATATATACATATACATACACACACACAGAGACCAGCTGGCTTTCTGTACAGTATGCTTTACATATAAATTACTACATGCAGCTACGGGTGCATTCTTTCCAACTCTCGAAACTATGTGGAATTAAACGCCAACTCAAATGCAATGTGACCCAGCTTTAATTTGAAAAACACTAAAGTCAAATGAAGTGTGTTCAGACAAACTCTTGCAAAATACGACATAATTACCTGGAAAACCAATACGCTCTTGCAGAGTGAACAAATCACTACACACAAATGACAGTCAAAGTGCAAAATTACAGCTGTATATCTTTATGGCTATTGCCCGACCCGTTGTTATCACTGAATCAAAGAATACACGTTTATTGCTATTTAAAACTCTTTAGGTATAATTATGTGAGACTAAACGTGCTTTAAAACTAACATATCACCGGGAAAATTGTCTCTGCGAATAAAAATGCGCATTTTGTCAACAGGCATTACTGAAGAAGACTAAGCAGGGGGCTATCGAAAGGACCCAAACAACATGTACCGGAAGTTTTGAGAACATAAAGTAAATAATTGAGTTAACGCTCAAATTGTCTGGCTTCCAGTTTTTACCAGGTACTCTAATACACAGCGCACGATGTATTTAAATCGACAGTAATACACAGGCTATTTTTAGAAAGGTAAACGTTTAACTTGTGGTTTAATATAACTTACCATTCTGTGGTGAGCTAACGGTGGCTACTCTGGCATGCAGACTAATCGTTCAGCTAATGAACGTCACGGTTAACGCTAATCAAGGTGTAGGGCATGAGCTTATAGTCGTCCTATATTAACTGTCTTCCGTGCAACGTGGCAGGTCTACGGGACATAATGAGGAATGGGACAGCTAAATTTGTCTCCTCTTGGTCCTTAGCTAAATTTTATGGTTTTACCAAAAACCTCAACTTCCAGGAATAATGAGGAGGATAAACCTACTTCGTCAGCCTGTGTATTCTTCTTGGCAAATATGTATTTCCTCCAATAACTTGGGATAAAATCTAAGAACAGGAAACTGACTGACGTGCACAGAAAAATTTCCAGGGTACCAGGAAATGACAGCTAAAAATGACCGTATCGCCTACGTGATGAAGTTAACGTCCCTTGAATCTTGCTTGTAAAATAACGTTACTGTTTTGATTAAGCTTAAGCACCTCTGTAAACTGTTTTGATTAAGCTTAAGCACCTATGTAAAGTGTTGCTTTATCTCCACAGACTCCTCGGAGCAGATAACATGAGCAACATGTCCCCTGAGGTTGCACTGCACCGGATCTCACCCGAGTTGCGGCCCTTGCTGTGCAGTGTGGTGAGAAACGGCCATGTGGGAATCGACTCCACAAACTGCCTCCGTGTCACAGACCTCAAGACTGGGTGAGGTGTAGTTTTGCACCTTAGGTTCATATATGAAAAACTAGATCCAGTCTCTCTTGCACTTCTGTAATCTTGCATGCAAATGATATGAAATAGATGAGTGACATGTATGGCAAGCACTGTAAACATGAAATTATATTTGCTTGAGTCAAATAATCATATATATACACAGTCTTTTTCCCTGTATTTTTAACTATCAAATACCTCAGCAGTACAAATTCATTCATTTATTTATGAGTTAATGTAAAAAAAAAAAAACTAATACAGCTCTCACCAGTACATGCAGTGTAAGTGAGAGAAAAATGGTCATTAACTAAATTCTTTTAAAACTACTGGATAAGATCTGTGCCCATAAGCTGTATATTATATCTTGAAGTGGCTTAAATCCATTTTTTTGTTTTCCTCTAAGTGGCCCAGATATTTATTTTTTTTTCACAGATGTGTGAACAAGTCAAATCCGATTCTTTCAAATCAGATCTGATCCTGGGCCTTTTCTAGATGTGGTCCTATTTCTAATTCATATTTGATATTTGACCATGCAACTGTTGGAATGGTCAGAATGGAATTCATGTGTTTTTATGTTTTTTTTTTTATGTCTCCACTGCAAATTCTGCTGTTCATCATCATCTAGTGTCAACATCTCACTAACCAGACAGATGCATAAAAAGAATCTGAATTTAAAACAAAGTAGTGTGTATTGGCACTGTGAAGAACACAGTGTTATGTTTTACATCATATTCAGTAATATTGTGTTTTCACTAATTTTAAGCCTTGTGAATG